GTAAGTGTCCTCCTGTGACCCTAAAGAGAACTATGGATAAAAAAAAAAGGTTGGGTTATAGTTCTCTTTTATTTATTGTGCTAAAGTTTTTATGTGTCTAAAGGGTACAAAAACTGGTATATGTGTAGCCCTGTTTTGGGGGGCGGTCATATGAGATAACCCGCTGCCAACCTGGAAATCCTGAGCCTCTGATAAGTGGGAGTATGAGGTGTTATCTCTTTAAATGTTAGTGCCTCCACCCAGCTGGGCCTTAAGGCTTACAATAGGGCCCCCTAGTTGAAAATTTCCTGGTCTTTAAAGCATGTTCTCCTGTAAATACAACTCTCGTCAATAGCAGATAAGAGTGATGAACGTCAGTCGCTTTGAGTAGATTTTAGAGTATTTCATTGGCATATGCATGGACATGTAATGGTGCGAGGGGAGTACAGGGTACCCCTTTCAAAACACAATTCTTTATTCTTCTGTATATTCCTCTATCTTATGAATCCTTTCCATAGAACTTTACTGGCTGGCACATAACATGTAACTTTGGCTCCCTGTAACTGAGGCTCTAGTCTAGTGTGTGCTCAGTCATTACGTCAAGGTAGGATAGCAATGAGAAGGTTCCTGTGTTACTTCTCCAGACCCAGTCACTCGCCATCTATAGGGGGAGGGGGGAAGAGCGGGGGGGGTAAGGCCTGTACTGTAGCACTCCATCATAGCAGCCAGTAACTTAGGGACACCACCCAGGATAAGAGATTCCCACAGCATCCCATACCCTTAGGCCTAGATTGGTGAATCCCAGAGACATCCTCCCGGGGTGAAGACCCTGGAGCAGGAGCCTATGCGAGGAAGGGCCGCAGATATTTAATAGCTCTCCCAGCATGCACAGCAGGCTCCCCAGACATACTGATTGGCCAGGCATTAAACATCCTTAAGGTGGAGTGCTATCTCTAGCACACCTTGCTGGTGGACACCCAACACAGCAAGTGACTAAAAATAATCACTGCCCATTTAGAGAACACTAGCCAGCACAGCCAAGCTGACTAATCTACACTAACAAATCCAAATATATAGAAGAATTTGGAAACAATTATAGATCCATATGTATGTCCTACACACAGGTTTAATTTAACCGTGCTCCTTTAAGCTCCTCCTTCCGTTAGCACTTTAGGCTACATAATTGCTCTCTGTAGGGTGCCCAAAGGTGCCCCAGGGCTTTTACATTCTTAGCAATGTCCCTTCTCTGTGCAGCTGGCTGATGAAGGATTAGGGCAGGAAACTAAGATCAGTCCATATATTTTGATCCCTGTTATTTCATGTATGCTCTGTGAAATAGGTTGCAAGTTTGCTAGTCCTGAATTTTTCCTGGCAGATGTATATATGGGGGTGAGGAAATATTTCACTTGCTCTTCAGTTTTTACATCTTATTACTATATTCTCCTGACAAAGATTTGGATACTGGATTTAGAAAAGAAAATATTTATTACATTTTGAGATTGTAAATAAACGGAATCATTATAATGCTGCACTCCAGGCAGATAATACAAATAACAGCAATAAATGCAGATATGTATTCAGTAAACGACAACGATTTCAAAGTAGTCTAAGTGACTTGGGAAGAGCCCCTTTCTTTCCTCTTAAGCACTCATTCACGCCTGAGAGATACAAAATAAGCGCGTTTTTAGCCAGTTTTTGTGTAGTGTGATTTTGCACACCTGTGAAACTTTTGTCATTTTACCACACAGACTTGCAGCTGCTACATTGTGTAATATCCAATAGAAAAACGCTCCTTTATGTGTCATCAGTTCCTGCTTCTGTAGAGAGTGTTCCTGGAGTTTAGGATACCTCTGCACAGCAAATATGATTGATCTACATAGGTTGAAGGGTCGGTATGAAATTGGGGGGTGGGCACCCGATTATTTTAGGTGTTATTTTGGGAGGGGGGCCACACGCTTTCTGTATTCTCCAAATTACATGAATGCAGCACATGCTCACCTTTGCAGTCTCTGGAGGAGGTTCTGAAACTGTCCCAATCAGGCCACATCTGCTTGCAAATGCAGTGCCCAGCTGAAGTCCTTCTTCCGCGATGTTTGTGGTGTGGGGGACGGGTGTCATATAAAACAGGCTTCCTCCCTCACAAAATAGGAGAGTGCTTTCCTCCATGATGGCCACACTGCATGTGAGGAAAAAGGGGCAGCCCACAGGAAAGGAACAGGTTGATCTTATTTTTTTTGTCCAAAAAAAGAGATCTCTATTTCTTTACACATTAGACACTTGTAAAGCTTGGTTTTACGCACAACAAAACGGTGCAAAATCACTTGAAATGCGCAATTTTGTGCAACACCATTCGAGTCCATGGGGCCAAGAAGCGCTGAATTTGCCAAAAAGTAGCTCATGCACTTGCTACAAGTGACAGGTGTTTTGCTACATGACACTCAGGTGTTAACAGTACCATTGAAATTAATGGGGGTTTTGGCAGCAATCTTTTTGAGCTGCAAACACGCTACAAAATGTTGTGAATGAGGGCTCACAAAACTTAGGCTTGGAGAGTGAGGATGAGCAGTAGGAAGGTAGGACAGCTTCTACATATACTGTATACTTCGCTTTTTCCTGGTAAAATGTTCAAGAGCCAATAAACAGTTATACACACAGTAAGACATTTAAATCTCTCATAAAAAGACTTGTAAAAAACATACATGGTTTTACTACATGCACTGAAAATCTTAACATCTCATTCCATTACATGGGCTTATTCATTCAAATGGAACTATAACATCTTATGCTTTACAACCAAGAAATGGTAAGCTGGCCCACACTACAAATTTCCTCAGGTTCTTGATAAACTGGCCAAAATCCGCACAGTAGGTGCCGCTGTCAGGACCCTTTCAGCCCTCTCTTGATCAGCTGATTCAAGGAGTCACTTGGATCTTTGAAAGAACAGAGTGGGGAACCAATGAGCTGCTGGCTCTGTTCAGGTATTACGACAGTGTTTTTGCAGCCACAGTCAGAATACATTGCAAACAGCGGGGAGATTCCTCCAGCAACACCCATAAGCATTGATGGGAGGAATCTGGAATATTTTCTTTGTTCAGCCAATGGGTTGAAGAAAATATTACAGTGTATGGCCAGCTGTAGCTTCTATTTGGATTGCAGCTGCCATGGTGCTACACATGTGATCCACTTCGACACTAGCCATTCGAGGGCTTGAAATTTTATTAAGAGCTCAAATGAGGACACTGCGGATCTTAACAGTTATTACCAGAAGCATACCTTGAAAGAAACCATTTTGGGAGACGGTTACTGTAATTAGGCAAGTCCCACTTTGAGAAAATGCATATAGATGTACTAATGTGGAAACTTCAATACTGTATAGCAACTACATATTTTTTTTGTAACCATATCAATTAGAATATGACTTTTGGATTGCCATGCTGCATGTCTATTACACTTTGGATATCAATGTTTTGTTTGCACTGCCTTGTTACTGTGGAAATCTTCTAGTAAGAAACCAAAATTATCTTGTGGCTAGCATCAGATCCACCATAGCCATAGAATGAGGGGCAAACCTAGAGACCACTACAACATTTTTACAAGATTTTATTTGCCAAATACGACTTGAGACTCTTACAAATTGATTGCATCTGAAATAGCATTTTCTTACATTACATTTAGAATCAAACTTCCATTATATTCTCTGCATTTATACCACGTATAAAAGATTGGAACAAACAAATGTTAAAATCACCCTTTCTGACATTCAGTTATGGCTACATCAAGTAGTTAAAAATCCAGGCAAAACCACAACCTACAGTTATAAACATTAGTGTAAGGGTAATATGTGTTTTTGGTTTCTGTATACATAATTTGATAGTTTATTTTAGTTAGAGGCCTTTTGATAGAAATTAAGTCAAATTAAAGACAATGTCCTATGTTCCAGATAACAATCTAATTTTATTTAATCTCCCATATTTATATGGTATGCAGTGATTTACAAAGTACACTGAATCATTCACACAAGTCTTTGTCTCTCAAAGCTCAAAATCTGATGTTCCTACCACATACACACAAGCTAGTGCCAATTTGTGGAGGATGCCTGTCAACACAATTTTTTGGGATTGTGGCAGAAAACCACAACATACAAAATCCACACAGTGGAATTTCCATTTTGCAGC